CCATATCCCTCCTCGCTGCCAAATTGGAGAGTTATCATCTGGAAAGCCTAAAGGCAGGATGGCAGTGGTGGGGTCCTGGTCACGCTTATTCCTTCCAACCCCCTTCATTGCCCCCTCCTCACTCTGCTTCATCTGCCAGCCTCCAGGCAGGAGGCTCACAGGATTCTTCACTGGAAATCTTGCTGGCCCAAGGGAAACGACCTACATATTCTTCTACTTTGGGGTCCCCAATATTAGGGCCAGAATCCTATCCCACCCTTTTTCTGTGAAACCCTCCAAGAATCCAGCTCTGCTCCCACACAGGGCTTCCGTCAGCTGCTAACTGCCTCATTCTTAAATAGGATCAGACAGCCAAGAATCAAAGTCATTTGAGGAAAGCCTTAACTACAAAAAAACAGAAACCAAAACAAACAAACAGAACAAAATGAACTTTAAGGAAACAGAGAAAATGTGAAGATCGGAATAAGAAAATAATTTTCATTATAATTACTACCCCCAGAGGGATAAGAGAAGATAATTAACTCATGAAACAAGAAGATGATGTTTTAAAAAAGAACCCTGGACAAGAAACAGCTCTTGAAAATTCAAAATGACAGCAAAAGTATAGAAGGGTTAAAATTAAAAAGGGAAGAAATTTCCCAGAAAAGAAAAGATAATAGGAAAAAAATTAAAAGTTGGAGAATCATTTGGGGAGGTCTAATATCCAAATAATCGAAGTTCCAAAAGAGAGAACTGATAAATTGGAGAAAAGTAACAACGCAATCATCTGAGAAAATTTCCCAGAGCTTAGGGACATGAGATGCCAGATTGAAGGGCTCACCAAAGACTCAGAATAAAGGATAAAAACTATCAAGGCACATTACTGGGAAACTTCAGAACATCAGGCATGCAGAGAAAATCCTGTGAGCTTCCAGAAAAAGAGAAAACAGTTTATATCCAGAGATCATCAGTCAGAAGTACGTTATTTTTCTCAATAGCAACACCAAAAGCAAGAAGACAATGAAGCAATGCTTTCAAAATACAGAGGGAGAATTCTTTGTCACCTAGAATTTTATACCTAGGCAACTATCAACAGTGTATGAGGGTAGAATAAAGCCACTTTGAGACACAAGTGGTTTTTTAAAAATTTGCCTCTTGCAGATCCATTCTCAGAAAGCGACTAGACAAGTAAACCCAGAAAGAGGGAGAAAACGAACCCAGGAAATGAGGAACCACACAGAAGAGAACTGAGAGGAAGGACCACAGTGAAGATGGAGGGTGATCTGAGGATGAAACCTGTTTGGTAGGACCAGAGAGTGTATCATCCCAATTCTCCAGGTGGGATGCCACGAGAGATAGACCTGATACAACAGCAGTGGGTCTACATTCATTGAGGAAAACTTAGAGTTATGTGTGTCGATTTTGGCGCAACTTAATGCTAAATATGTAGAACACCAAGCAGATGAAAAATGAGGCCAAGTTTAACTTCAATCAAGACAAAAGTTGTGTAAGAAAGAAAATTTAATCACAGCACAGTATATGATTCTGTTCTTAACAATGTTTACATAGTCACAATAATATAAACATTGGATAGTAACTTAACCAAAAATGTTGTGTAGCTATGTCAAGAGGATGAAGGAAAGATGTGTGTGTGGTGTACAATCCTAATCTTCTATAGCAGGAATGAGGTAGATAACACCTAAAGCAGAAACATACTAAGAGAAGAAAAATAAGAATATTCTATAGAAATTCAAATGTAAACACAGAACATCTTAAAAAGTTTAGGCCAGGGCATGGTGTCTCACACCTGTAATCCCAGCTCTTTGGTAGGTCGAGGTGGGCAGATCACCTGAGGTCAGGAGTTCGAGACCAGCCTGGTCAACATGGCAAAACCCCATCTCTACTAAAAATACAAGAATTAGCCAGGCGTGGTGGTAGGCACCTGTAATCCCAGCTACTTGGGAGGCTGAGGCAGGAGAATCGCTTGAACCCGGGAGGCAGAGGTTGCAGTAAGCTGAGATCGCGCCATTACACTCTAGCCTGGGTGACAGAGCGAGACTCCATCTCAAGAAATAATAATAATAATAATAAAATTTTAAAAATGTTTAAAGCAATTGTCTCTTTGGAATGGAATTTGGTGGAGGGGGGAAGAGTAAAACAGGGGATTGCTTTCTTACATTACAGAACTATTTGATTTTGTCCCCTTTTTCTTTTGAGGTATACTTAATATATAATAAACTCACCTATTTAAAATGCACAGTTTGATTGGTAAGTTTTGTCATATGTACACCACAGTCAAGAGAGTAAACATATCCAGCACCCTCCACTCAAGTTTCCATGTGCCTTTGTAGTCCTCCTTCCCTCCAGGATTACTCCTAGGCAGGGACATATGGATGACTGGAGATCAATGGCCATCCAAGAATGGTTCAACAGTTCACCGTTTTAGTGAACCAGGGATCTGTGCTTCTAGTGCAGGTTCTCCAGATGCCAGCCTGGGGAAAACACCTCACTGTTCAACTCGGCCTTCAGCACTCAGCTTGAGAAATACCTCCTCCAGGAAGCCCGTCATGACTACCTCCCTGTGCCCATGCTCCCTTCCTTCAAGGTGTAACTCTCCACTTTGTAGTGTACTTGTTTCTTTTTCCCCTGCACCCAGTGGGCATTCCCAGCCCTGCAAGAAGGAAAGCCCCCTTTGACTCACAGGGGCTGGCTCAGAGCAGGTGCGCAGGGAATATTTGTTGATTGAAGGTATAAAATACATGACGGAATAGATATATGGAAGGGTGAACGGGTGAGTGAATGCAAGGTGTTTTCCCATGTCAATGATAGGAGGCTGTTTATATTAAAGATGGTATCTCTTTAAAGACCACGTGAAAACCCAGCAGAGGCTGAAATGGGAGGAAAGTGCCGAAACACAACTGGAGCCATGAGTCCACTCTTGGAGAGGTCTGAGAGACACCTGTCCCAGGATGAAATCCTGTCCCAAACATCCCTTCCCCTCCCCCTACCCTCACCCCCAACCTCAGACCCAAGACCCACCCAGGGAGCCCTGGGCTGAGCTGACCCCAGCAACTGGAGATGTGACTCACTAGGGGGCACTCTTCCATCACACCAGCCCTGCCCCAGCAGGCACAAACCCTGCCCTAGGCCCTTTCCTGCAAACTCAGGGGCCTCTTCACGTTCCCTGCTGCCTCTTGCCAAGAGCAGAGGATCTTTCCAGGCAGCAATGGCACATCCACAATATCAGTATTCACTCAGTATAAGGTAGCTTTGCAGAAAAGGCAGGTGTCTGGGGTTACACTGATATTTCAAAATGGTCTTTATTCACCTGTCAGAATGTGCCCATTCTTAGATCCTCACCCCATTCCTTCCCAGTCTGATGGCTACCCACACAAAAACAAACTCAAGTGTGCGCTCCTGCATTTCATCCAAGTATTTGCCAATATCCAGACAAGTCTTCCATGCAGGACTGGAAATTGTGAAGGCCCTGGGCAGTTACACACCCTAGAAAAAGGGGAGGAAATGGGAGCATGGTTCAGAGCTCCCTGCCCATTGTGTAACCTCACCATTCATAGGAATCCTCTTAGCCCTGGGTCGGCAGGGGCACCAGAAAGAAGAAAAGGGCCACAGAGGAAGGCCAGGGACTCAAGGAATGTGTGCGGTTTGGAGAGGCAGGGCTGCTTCTTCCTTTGTTTTTTTTTTTTTTTTTTTTTTTTTTTTGAAAAGGAGTCTTGCCTGTCACCCAGGCTGGAGTGCAATGGCGCTATCTGAACTCACTGCAACCTCTGCCTCCTGGGTTCAAGCTATTCTCCTGCCTCAGCCTCCCGAGCTGGGATTACAGGCATCCACCACCATGCCTGGCTAATTTTTGTATTTTTAGTAGAAACAGGGTTTTGCCATGTCAGCCAGACTGGTTTCGAACTCCTGACCTCAGGTGAGCCATCCGCCTTGGCCTCCCAAAGTGCTGGGGTTACAGGCGTGAGCCACTGTGCCTGGCCGCATCTTTAGGACAACATTCTCTTACCTAAACCATTGTGGGGCCTAATTTCATAAATGCTCCAACTCTGGAGGATTTAACCCCTAAAGACACAGACCCCGTGAAGCCCTTTGTGCTTAATGGAGATTCCAGACCTGAAGCGTGAGAGTGAAAGGGAGAGGGGGCAGCAGTGGAAGGAGAAGACTTGGGGGAGAAAACCTAGAGGGAGTGATGAAGGGAGGGGTGGAGAAGGGAGTGAAGGGGGGACAGGGGTTTGCAGGAGGACAAAGAGAAGAAAGGCCCCCACTTGGGTCTTCTGCTCTTGGAACTGGAGCACTAGAACTTCCATCCTAATGTTCAGATTCTTCCTATGAATTTGCTTCGTGCTCCAGTAGGCTTCTTGTTCCCATAACCTGTCAGAGGGAGTGTCCAGAGGAAGCTGGAAAAGTGAATTTCACAACTAACAGTCATCCTTTGATCTTGCCACCTGCACCCTGGAGCTCTCCTCCACTAAGCAACCATTTGGGAAGTAAGGGGAACATTTCCTTCCCAGCTGTATGAGAGGAGGCTACTAGGGTCCCACCAAGAGCTCACTTTCATATTCTGGTTGGGTGCAGTGGGATGCAGCTGCAGGGCCAGACTGAGGCCATAAACCAGGCACAGACCCGGACCCGGGCTAGGGAGAGGTGATGGTGTGGGTGCCTGAATCCCTTGCTAAGCCCTGTACACACCTATGATACAGCCACACCCCAAGGAGCTACACTTCCCAGAGCAAAGGCCTCCAGTCTGGCTTACTCTGAGAATTAGGTCACCTCTGCATCTTTCCTGGGTAGGATTCCTGACCCAGTCAGCCACATTGTCATCTGGGAAGAATCATAACCTGCAGGAGGAAGAGAGGAGGTAAAGGAGAAAGGGACAAAGTAGACTGAGACAAAAGTGGAAGAAGAAAGCACTGGCTCACTAAGAAGCCTCTCTCCCCTCTGCTGTAAGCGAAGATAGATTCGTAGGCAAGCAGCCTGGCCTGCCCAGTGTCCCCTGTGCATACCTGCCTCTGGCACATCTCAACGGTGGTCACCTTCTCAACCAACCACTCTGTAGAGCTGGGATGGCCACCAGCTTAGGCAGGCTCCACGGAGCCTCTCAGCAGCCCGTGCCTGAGAGATCGTGCCCTCTGTTCTTTCTGCAGAGAGAAAGGGAAAGGAAAAATAAAAGTACATGCATATTTCTCATTTAGGTTTTGGGATCCTTCTCCCGCTTCTGTCCCTTTGGGGACAGAAATTAGCAATCACGGGTGCCTGTGTGGCTCCGCAGCAGGCTTGTCGGCTCCAAGGTGTACCTCTTTCACTCTAGCTGCCTTGAACTGACGCCTTTCTGCAACCATCTCAAGAATATTTGTCAAACATTTTGTCAGGGATCCTCCCAAATGCCTGAAAGACAGGACTGTACCATGCCGTGTTTCCCTGGATTTCACAGCCCCAGAGTTCGCATGTCCACACCCACTCCCCTGCCTCCACCAGTTATACTGTCCATAAGGTAAGGCCACTCAGAGACCTCTTTCCTTTCACTTCTAAAATTCCTGCCTACAGTGGTATACTGATCACAGCTTCTCTTTGTAAGGGGATCTTTGGAAAGCCAAATATCCCTTAGCTTGGCACAAATGATCCATTTGCTCAATCATCTCAGATTCAATCACTATTTGAAACACAGTATTTGGCTTCTAAGTAAAAAAAAACACACACACACACTTTTTGTGAGTTTTGTTAAAAATTAACAATGTCCTTGGCAATTAAGCTTGCAGAGTTTCCTTGCCCTTGCTTGCCTCCAGTGAATTTGGGACTTGCAAACTCCATATTGAGGGCAGGACTTAGCCAGGGGTAGAAATCAGCCCTGACTATCCCGGTGGACAGGGCCCGACTGCCCCCACCTCACCCCAACTGACTTGTAGAGAGGCCTTGTGTGGTGGGGAACGGGGAGAGTGTGTCAGAGCAGGCTTTCTGAAGAAGGGGTTTCCACCTAGCAGAGGAAGTGTCCTGGGGGCAGAGGAGAGGATTCCACGCAGGAGCCACCGAAGTGGGTACAAGGGAAACCCCCTGGCTGGCAGGGGTGTATGGGGAGGTAAAAAAGAGACTAAAACAAGGACAGGGCAGGTGAATAGAGGAGGGCTCCCAGCGTCTGCCCTGTCCATCTAGGGAGCCTGGATTCTGATAGCCAGGGAGGGGTTCTGAGAATAAGAAACCAAGCAGCCCCCTGGCTGATTACCTGGTTCTCGCTGTGTGTGACTCTGGACACGCTGCTTAAGCTCTCTGAGCCCTGGTGTCCTCATTTATAACACAGGAATGATAACAGAACGCCGTTGAAGGGTGCTTGGCAGGGCTGAATCGGATGACTGGGCGAAAAGCCAACGGTGGCACACCTTGCGCTCTGAGTAAAGGGGCGCCTATTATCACCTTGGGGAAGAATTGGACAGAGCGCCTGACGACGGGTGATTCAGTTGGGTAGGTGGGTCAAATTGACCGGATTTTCCAACCCAGATTCACACTTCCTGTGGAGACAGGTCGTAAAAGAGCTGGCAAAGGTGTTTGTAAACAAAACTGCAATTCAAAGGTTGCCGCTGGGGGTGAAAGCAGCGGGGGTTAGGGGAAAGAGGCTGGGTGGCTGGAAGCATTCACTTCGCCCGGGGCACTGTCCCAGCCCAGAGGACATGGATGTCTTTGCAGTCCCTCCTCCTTTTCCCCCCTCCCCCGGTACACACACACACACACACACACACACACACACACACACAGCCGGAGCCCCCTCCCGCAGCAACCTCGGGACACGCGTGGTACAGCCCTTGCTGTCGTCCGGTCGATAGGTTTAGGGATGAAGGGTGAGAGCGGGTCGGCGACTGGGAGTAGAGACGATAATAAGCCGAGTTGGATTAAATTGTCTCCAGCAGCTCCCAAGGCAAAACGTGGGGGGGCAGGGGCGGTCACAGCGCGGCCTGGAGGGCGCTGGGCGAGGAGGAGCGGAGCTCGGGGGCCGGCCCGGCGCTCAGCCAGCAGCGCCGCCTCCCCGGAGGAAGGCGGGGGCCGGGAGGAGGGAGCGGGAGGAGGCGGAGGGCGGAGGAGGGCGGCGCGCTGAGAGGTTATTTGTGGTTCGCTTTGATCCCGAGGGGGAACCTGAAACTCTCACATTCCTGGCATAGCAGCCGCCTCCGGCGCGGGCCGACCCTGGGGCTGAGCGCTGGGGCGCGAACAGCCAGAGCGTCGGCGCCACGGCCGAGAACACATCGCAGCCGCCGAGCTGAGCCGGGCCGACCCGGAGGTTGTGGTGACTGACTGCGCCGGGCACCCTTGGGCCGCAGCGGTAAGGAAGGCTGCTCCGCGCTCGGGAGAGCGCGCGAGGCCACAGAAACGTACCCCAGCCAAAGCTGTAGTCTCCGCGCAGCCCGGCCTTTTCCGGGAGTCGGAGCCCCGAGGATCGAGCGTCCTCGGGGGCAGTGCGCCCTTTCGAGGCAGCCGCAGTGCTGGGCAAGAGCCGTTCCACGCGGGGAGCCCAGCGCCCTGGGCTTTGCGGGGCTCTAGAAGCGCGCGGATCCCTTGGGGCTGGGGGAGAGGGGAGAGGGCCGACTCCGGAGAGAACAGCGACGGTGTTTCGGTTTGCGGGTCGGCTGGGGTGGGGGTGGCGGGGGACAGGGATAGAGGCGCCGCTTGGAGCTCAAGTTGCAGGGTCTTGCGGGCTGATTTGGTTAGGTGGGGGTTACAGGTGCCTTTGCCCCCAACTAGTCCAAGAATTCCTCTTTGTCTTCCTTGGAAAATCCTCTCTGGAGCCACGAATTGGCTCTCACTTAGAAAGAATGCAGCCTGCTGTCCAGCCCGGTGACGTCAGCGTTAGAGTATTTGGAAAACAAAGAGGGCTCGAGAGGGAGGGAGGCGGACCCGCGATGCTTAAAGACCTCTCCGGGCCTCGGGCTACCCTCACCGGCTCGCCCCAGGCGTACCAGCGACCTTCGGTGCTCCAGGTCCGCCCGGGCTCGTGGTGGGGCGGGAGCCCTGGCTGGGGTGCGAGAGTCTCCTAGCTTGGAGACTGTCACTTTGGTTCCTTAGGCGAGCGGGATCCCAGGCCAAGGCTGGAGACGCGCGCTGGCTTAGAAAGGCGGCCTTCAGAGAGCCCAGAGGGCGAGCGCAGCAGAGGGGCGCGGCCGGGGGCGCGGAAGCAGGTTTTAGTAAAGGCTCAGGCGTTTGGTGTCTGAAAGGACGTGAATCTGAGGGGCTTGGCCGGGACAAATTCGCGATGAGAGGCCTTGGAGGTGTTCCTTGCTCCCAGTCCGGGCACACTGTGGAGCGCCTGGAATCTGTTGGGAAGGCTCCGCATTCCTTCCTGCCGCTCCCCTGCCTCTGTGGGAGTCGGCCCAGAGAGTGATTATCTTAGGAAATGCCCGCAGATAAAACTCCAGGGCGAACTGAATCCCGTGCGAATTCAATCCCATTTGCTTGCTTTGCCTCGGGTAGCTCCGGAGTCTTGCACATCTACCCCTCGTTGTGTGTGGGGGCGGGGGCGAGTGCATGACTCGCTGCCAGGAAGGATGGGTACAGAGGTGCCCTCCAGACTCATCCCCCACTCCCCACCTCTGGGCAGCTGTAGTCCTGGGGTGGGGAGAAGGGAAGGATTGGGAATGACTGCTCTCTCTGCTAACATGCCATAGCCCAAACTGAAGCAGGACACTAGGGCTAGTTTAGTGGCAGAGGAGGGGCCATATTCCTCCCACCCACCCCCAAATTGCTGCCCATACACACAGGACCTGTGGCAGTGTGGATTCTGTTTAGTTTTCCCTGGAACCCAGTTTGGAGATTTGTGTTGGAAGAGGCTGTGGAAAGGAAGCTGGGTGAGAGAGGCAGGCAGCTTTCCAGTCCATGAGCCACTGGGAGCCCAGACTTAGAAGGGAAATCCTTTCTCTGATATTATCTCCGAGCACTTTAGGCTCACAGTCCCCTCTCCTCTGCCCCAGGTCTCTCAACCAACAACCTCCCCTTACTTCTCCGGTTAGCCCAAGTCAAGATGGGCTTCCTTGACACTGATGTCAAGAAAGATGCTAGAGGACCAGTGGGGGCTTTTCCAAGTAGCAAGTGTGTGTGTGTGTGTGTGTGTGTGTTGGGGAGGATAATCATAAAATCAAAGACATCGTGCCATCCTTTCTTTTTCCTGGAGCTCTCTTGCAGTTACTGTCAGCACAAAGACTGACCCACTAACCTTAATGGGTGGCACCCTTTTGCCTCATCTCACAATACCATTGTCCTCTTGGAGCATTTTTATTCATCCCTTATTCACCAATTCAGGTGCAATTCCTCCTTCTTCCCGTTAACCTTGCGGAGTGACTGCCAAGGTCATCCCATGACAGGGAGCCCCAGATTCATTCTGTCAGCAGCCCTTGATGAAGCAGAGCCCAGGCCCATCCTCCAGGAGCTCTCTGGTTCAGGGAGAGTGAAAAAAGTGGGCAGGGGTTCAGCGGGCTAGAGGGTGGTAGGTTGACTGTGCCAAGGCTGGGCTCTGGCATGCCTCAGTGTAGAGGGTCCTGGGGGCCTTTTGCCTAGGGCTTTTCTACTGGACTGCATGCATTTTTTATCACCTGCCAATAAATTGGGGCCCCATCCACCCCTAGACTGAATAGCTAAGTGGTTAGATCTGAACTAGGCCTGCCTTGGAATTGCCCATCAGGCTGTTTGATGTGTAGCTGGCTGTATGGGCGGTGGTTCCTGGTGGGTTATCTTCTGGTTTCCTGTTGTCTCTCTCCAGGAATAGTAAGTCACCATGAATGTTATCACAGTCATTGTTTACCAGGATTTTCACTGTACCAGGAGCTCACAGGCCACTGGCTCTTTTTATTCTCATCTCCGTGAGTCAAGCAGAATTCTTTGCATTTTTCTGGTGGAGAAACTGAGGCTCAGAGGTTAGATAACTTGTCTTAATCAGTAGATAGCAGCACTGGTACTTGAATCCAAGCTTATGTGACCCGCCCCACCCCTGCTCTTCACTTTTATGCTTTCCACCAGAGTAATAATGGAAATCCTGGAAAACCTTCTCCTTTCCCATGGACTCCCACTGATTGCTTTTCTCTCTCTCTGTCTCTCTCTCTCTCTCCCCCGCCTCCTCTAGGTGCTCTGGGGCCAGGTGCCACCGGCCATTGTCCAGGCAGCTGTGTGCAAGCCAAAGAAGCATGAGGACACTGGAAGACTCCTCGGGGACAGTCCTGCACCGCCTCATCCAGGAGCAGCTGCGCTATGGCAACCTGACTGAGACACGCACGCTGCTAGCCATCCAGCAGCAGGCCCTGAGGGGTGGGGCAGGAACTGGGGGCACAGGGAGCCCCCAGGCCTCCCTGGAGATCCTGGCACCAGAGGACAGTCAGGTGCTGCAGCAAGCCACCAGGCAGGAGCCCCAGGGCCAGGAGCACCAGGGCGGTGAGAACCACCTGGCAGAGAACACCCTCTACCGGCTGTGCCCACAGCCCAGCAAGGGAGAGGAGCTGCCCACCTATGAGGAGGCCAAAGCCCACTCGCAGTACTATGCGGCCCAGCAGGTGGGGCCCCGGCCACATGCGGGGGACCGAGATCCCCGTGGGGCCCCCGGAGGCAGTCGGAGGCAGGATGAGGCCCTGCGGGAGCTGAGGCACGGGCACGTGCGCTCGCTGAGTGAACGGCTCCTGCAGTTGTCCCTGGAGAGGAACGGCGCCCGGGCCCCCAGCCACATGAGCTCCTCCCACAGCTTCCCACAGCTGGCCCGCAGCCAGCAGGGCCCCACACTGAGGGGCCCCCCTGCTGAGGGCCCAGAGTCCCGAGGACCCCCACCTCAGTACCCTCACGTTGTACTAGCTCATGAGACCACCACTGCTGTCACTGACCCTCGGTACCGTGCCCGCGGCAGCCCGCACTTCCAGCACGCTGAAGTCAGGTAACTCTCCCCACCTTGGGCTTTCCAATTCCTGGCTTTCCTCCAGCACAGGCTGTCAGGGAGGAGAGCCTCAAGATCACAGCTTGTGTCAGAGCTGGCCAGATCCCCACCCCACCTCCAGCCTTCCTGAGAAGGGGGAGCTATTGCCTGGCAGAGAAGAGAGACGTAACTGAGGTCCCCTAAGAAGTTAGTGGCGTCCCTTGCCTTAGTTCAGAGATAGGCACCATTGTCTGCTGAGCTTTAGCATTCCAGTAACTACCGTCCCCAGAGGACACAAATCGCAACAGGCGGTTAAAGGTTAGATTTCAGAAATAACTTCCTAAAGCAAGGTTGGGAATCATTGCCAAACTGTTTCCAAGTTAAGTAGGAAGAAGGTGGGACCTCGTTCTCTGGAGGTTTTTTAAGAAAATGTGAGCAACTTGCCTTCTATGATTATTGGGAGGCATTCCTAACTAGAAGCTGGAAAGGCCCGGTGGCCTCATTAGAGACGTCTCTGCATCTTACACCAGGGCAGGAGCTTCCCTGTCTCTCCTCTCCATTTCCTGCCATACGCTCCCTGCATCTGCAGCCTGCAGCGGGACAGGATTCTGGGTCCAGGTGGGCCTCTTTCTGGGGAGGCTCAGGAGAGGCTGCGGGGTCAGGGCAGGGACTTAGAGTTTGATTCTGAGTATACTGGGAGGCCCTCGGGGGATGTGATTTGGTTTTCCTTTTCCAAGTGCTCTTTCTGGCTACCATGCAGAGCATGGTTTGTGAGGGGCCAAAATGGAAGCAGGAAGACTTGGGGGAGGCAAGAAGTCTAGAGAGTTTGGAGAAATGTATGTTCCTAGAAACAAGGCCCCACCTCAGGCTTCTCATCTGGCCCGCATCTTTTCAGAGAAGCAGACACAGCCATCACTGCTGCATCTCCCCCTGTGGGAGTCCAAGAAACCCCACCAAGGGACCCCAAGGATTTCAGACTCTTCCTCTGGTGGCCCAAGGTCAAAGTCTGGTTCTTTTCATGCCTGCTGAGTTTTCCTTTAGTCACCCACTTTCCCACCGTCCGGCCTTTCCTTGCTCTCGAGAAATGTGTGACATGATGGGGTTGG